TGCATCCTTCACGACCCTTCGTCTCCCCATGGTCTTCTGGTAGTTGCATGCAGTTGCTATGACATTGACAGGCAGCTTTCAGCTTGGATCCAAGCCCGATTCGGCTTGCAGAGCTTTGACAGCATCCTAGCTTTGCCAGATTTTCTGTCCGATGGACATCGATTGTCCCAGGCAGCCGATTTTGCGAGATCCATCCTTCCAATTTGGTTTCCTGCATCGGCTGGACGTTCCAAGTTCGGGACTTGTGTGCGTAGCAACCACCTACGCCAAGTATTATGCCTTGGAGCTGCAGCTCCGCACGGGCCTGCTCCACCGTGACTTGGCGCATGAAGCACCGCAGTGCTTTTACGATATGGCGCGAGTGGAAACTGTTCAGCAGCATAAGTCATGAGGCGACTATTTCGTCGTGTCTTATGGCTGGTGGCCGTTGTCACTGCTTGAGATTCGGACCAGTTTGCACTGGGGCTTGCAGACGCTTTCCATCGCGGGTGGAAGAGGAAAGCCGAGTGCCAGCTTGGTCAAGGTTCTTGCGCATGCAGAACGAAGAGAGCAAAGTGCCCACAGTCTTTTGGCCGTCCGCATCGTCACTGGCAGATGCTTCGAAGCAAGCAGACACGCCAGGTTTAGCAGGACCCGGTTGGACAGGATATCTGCTTTGCAGCACGACTTGGGCTCGAAGCCGCCTCTGAATGCCTTGACCTTTCCTGTCCGCAACTCCAGAGTCCTGTGCTCTAATTCATTCTAAGTCTCGCAGCACGAACTGGACCAAAACACGGAGTCCTTGCAGCTGCGCTGCGACCCCAGCCCTTGAGCCGACAGATTGGGAACTTTTGAATGCAGCGTCGCCTGTGTAGCTGCGTGGCCGTGGGGGCGCCAAGGACGGCATCAGATACGAAGTCACCTCGCGCACGTGGGTCATCCTGTTGCGGCTTGGAAGAACCTGGTTTGTTTTCCCTCGAGTCTTCACTCGTCGTGTGTGTGTGTGTGTGTGTGTGTCTGTGTGCACGCACACTGCAGCGCACACGCGTCTGTGTGCATGTCTGCCGTTGTGCAGCAGCTTCGGCCTTTGTCTCGTGCTCCAGGTCTCAGATGGCCAATATGCAGCTACTTCCATGCGAAGCACCAACGACTATCGGAACAACAGGCATTTCTTGCATCGCGTCTTGCCAGCATCTCCCATCGGGCAGCTCTGATTGTTGTGGCTTCCATTCCTCCAGCTGAATTCGCCGTATCCTAGGCTACCGCCTAGAATTTGTTGCGGAGAGCCCGGGGCTGTCGGTGCTGGAGCCATTAAGCCCGGAGCTGCTCAAGTACCTTAAGATGCTGCGCGGCAAAGACGCCAGGTTCGGTGAGTCGTTTCCCTGCTTTCAGATTGCCATGTGAAGCATGTCTTCGTGGTGTCTGGGCAGCTGAGCAGGTCGTCAGAGCTCCTGCAAGCTTGGATGCATGGAGACCTCGGCGATGCTATCGATTGGCAGCAGCTCAGCTCCCTCAGCATTGAGGAATGTACGCATGCAAGCTGATGCAGGGACACCCGACGGTGTCTTGCTCAGACGTCATGAAAGCATTTGCGACAAACAGAAAGGAGCTGTAAGGACAGCTTGTACCGGGGCTGCGGTTTGCAGTGCAGAATACAGGTAGGTGTTGTATGCCAAGTCACATGTTTTTCTGCACTGGTGTTCCCGCTGCTTCTGTGGCTCAGACGTGTCTTGCATGAGGAGGGACCTGAATTTGCGTAGTTTTGCCGAAGAAACCGGGCTTCCAGCGCCTGTTTTCCCTTTCCAGACCTGTTTTCCAACGACCTGGAGAGCTGGAACCCGGAAACTTTGGATCCTTGGCAGCAAGCCCCGCTCCAAGAGCCTGCATGGCCATGGAGAGGCAATTACGGCTCAGCACTGGACATGTTCACATGATTTCACATACAAGTACCTTTTGAGATGCGTTGACATGCAGAGACCCTCTGTCGTCAACCGAGGACGACGCGAAGAATTGCATATCAGAGATGATGAATCCGGCCCAAGACGAGTCGGAGCCGCGATCGCGGACGTGGCAATTCTCAAAGACCAAAATGTGGCTGGATGCAGCAGGAGGCTGTTTCTTCTTTTCTTTCTTAAGGTCACTAGTGGCATCGTGCTGTCTTGCATCGTTAAAGTAGTTCTGGCTTCGGTGGTGCTTGCTGGTCTCCTGGGGTATGGCAGCCAACTCTGCACGCCGAGGTGCAAATTCAATCTGGTTGGTATGTGTATGAAAGGCAGCCAATGCCCGTGCTTTGGTTGCCTCAGTGCTGCGGAGTCTTCGAACGTGGGGTAGCCGGCCATGTCTTCCGAGCCATGTTTGCTTTTGCTATCTCAGGTTTGCGCATCAGAAGGGCGAACTACGGGCGTTGCCAGACCTGACATGTACGAAGCTCTGCAAAACACTTATCCAGACAGGCAGGCTGCGTAAGTGTCTAGGGTATCTTGCAGAACTGCGCGGCCATAATCCGGCAGGCACCTGCGATGATGCGAAATGCACCTATGCTCACAGCAAAGACGAGCTGAGAGCCACAAGTACCTTCTCGCATAGCGGTCGTTTTGTTCCATAGTTGGCGTAGGTGAGCATTGCAGCTCATGCGACCTACGCGTCCATTTCGACCAGTCTGTTCTGCCAAATTCTAAGGCACTTTTCACAAGACCAAGCTGTGCCGATTTTCCCAGATGGGTCATTGAGCCTTGGATATACAGACTGCCAAAGAAAGCAAGATTAGGCAGGCATGGGCGCATGCACCGGAAAGTGCAACTCAGGCGCGCTCGGGTCAAAGTGCAACTTTGCACATTCCGACGAGGCCCGGTCTTCGCTCAGAGGGGAATACCTCCCTCTCCCCCTTCGCCCCCTCTCTGCTCGTCGGCAGCTTTAGCCAGGAGCTTCGGCCTTTGGATACCACCAGCCTGCCGCAGCCGCCGTCGCCATCAAGTCCGACTCCGGACCCGCGTCCTGCGACCCCTCAACTCTCCAGTCTCATGCGATCTTGTGCTGTGGAGTTGCATGCCAAGAGGTACTCGTAACTGCAAATTGGCCCGGTCGGGACGCAAGTACCCGAGCACCCTCCCACCCACACTCCTCTTGTGACGGTTAACCTTTACGTTTGCAGGCCAGATCTCGTCATTGTGTCTCTCTGATCTCTTGTACTCTCTTTTCGATGCTCTTCGCTTGTCCAGTCCAGTAGGGCTTTGTGCTTAGAGGAGCACAGCATGTGTTGCGAGGAGGAGTCACTGAGACGATCGGACCTCCAAGCTGCGCCGCGCGTCCCAAAGGCCCCTGCGGCTCAGGCTCAGCAGGCCAAGCCTGTTCAAGCTCCGAGGAAACCGCAGATGCAACAAATTGTGCTGCAGCAGCAGCAGCAGCAACTTCAACATCAGCAGCATCAGCTTCATCAGCAGTGGCTTGGACAGATATTCTCATTACCATTGAGGGCCATGCTGTCATGTTGCATCGCTGCATCTCGCTTGAAACTCCCTGTGAGCTCCAAAACCAAGGCAGTTGCAGCAGCAATTGCAGCTTCAACAGCAGCAGCTTCAGCAGCAACAGCAGGAGCTCGCCTCAGCCTTTTGCAAACACTGCACTTGTGAGGTATTGAGGTTGTGCCGTTGCTATCGGTCTGTTGAGCAGAGATGCGGCAGGAGATCTTGGAGCACCAGCAGCAGAACAAGATGTTGACGCTGGCCTTGCAGCAGCAGCTTGCACTTGCCAGTATCTTGTCAGCAGCGTTGTTTCTGGAGACCTTGCCACTTGCCGATCTTTACCCTTCATCCCGTGGCGCAGCCTTGACCTTGAAAGCTTTGAGACTGACAGAGCTAGTGCGCCTGAGTTAAATGTTCAGTGATAAGAGTGACTGCTCTTTGCGGCCTGGCAGCGCGTTGCATGACACTACAATGACTCCAATGCGTCTTGAGGTACCACTTTTGGCTCCTTCGGCCTCTTGAAGGGGCTCCGGCCCTTCCAAGTTGCGACACTGCCAGGCCAGAAAGAGAGCGAGCGGAAGCACATTAGCCTCATTAGCCTTAGCCCAGACGGATCGCGAAGCCAGTAGAAGATCTTTGACCAACCTCCCGCCCAAGATTCTGCTGATTTTGTGGTCGACTGTACAAGTTCCACTAAGCGCTTGACCAGCGGGTCCGCTTCTGCCAGACGACTTTGTTGATGTGCCACTGGCAGCTCACAGCCCTCCCGACGTGCCAGAAGATGCAAAGGCCTGGATTTATGACGTAAGTAACACAAACAGTGACGTCCATGCGGTCGGTGACGGTGCCACTGTCCCTGGAGGTTGCTCCGCCAAAGCGCCGCGGTGGCCGGCGGGGGAAGGGACGAAGCTTGTCCAAAGGCAGCGTATGGCAGAGTAGCCCGCACAAATGACTGTCCAGTTTTGTAGTGCAGGCGAGTTCGGAGACTTCAGTTTGGAGGTGGAAGAGTTCTGAGCAGCTTACACGGTCGAACCGTCCAGAGCATGTCCACCGAATGTCCAATAGACCTACCATCAGCAGAGTAGGGCTGAGTAGGGTTGTATAGACGCTACAAAGTTTCAGTCTTTGGCATCCTGGCAATTGCTGGTGACGTTAGCATCATGTGCTCATCGTGATGCAAGTCTAGATTTTCAGCTTTGACTGGGACGAACTCAGAATCACCACGGCCAGGATGTGCACTGACTATACGTGTTGTTGACCTGCTGACGCATTTCCTGCGACAGCACCATTGCCAGCCGCCTGTACAACACGGCTGATGAAAGAGCTATATTGATAAGGTGTACAGACAGTTTCAGGCAACTCTTGATCACAACAAGTTGATCTGCAGGGCATGGGCCACTCGCAAGCTTTAGACGTTTTTTGCCAGTTGCCTGAGGCTCGGTTTGAATGCTTGGAAGTTTTAATGCTTGTGCCCTTGCGACAGCTGTCGACCTCGACACAAAGAAGCATGTCATGGTTCAAGGTTCGCTCGCCACTTTGCCTGATCCTTCTTCAATGCAGGCCGAGCTGTCAAAGCACATTCCAGTGGTGCACGCCACCATCGGAGGACCACGGCACATTTGCACAGCGGGCGCTCTTACAGAGTTCACAAGTCCCACATGTTATCAGCACACAAACTGATCGGACTTGTTAACATAGTCACGTGTCCAAGCTTTAATGTAGAACGACAAAAACACTGGCGGCTGCCGCCAAGTGGCTCTGTGATGTCGCCACTGCATTAGTATACTCTATATTTTATAATATAGCATTGTTTAATATAATACTATATATACATATAGTATAATGTAATCAGTGTAATTTAATATAGTACAATCTAATATAATATATTATAGATACATAATATAGTATAACCAAATATAGTATAATGTAGTATAGTATAACAGTGTATACTATAAAAAGTATCATATGAGCATAGTATGTACATGTATATATATATATTATAATATATAGCAGAGTATAGTATAACATAATACAATGTAATATACAACATAAGACATAATATAATATAATATAATATAATATAGTATAACATAATATAAAATAATATAATATAATATAATATAATACAATATAACATTTAATAAAACACTATAATATAATATAATAAAATATAATATAATATAATATAATATAATATAATATAATATAATATAATAAAAATATAATATAATATAATATAGCACAATATCGTACAATATAGTATGATATA